ATGGTATGATTAAGCGATTAGCTTGCGTGATGAAGGCATTTATGCATAAAATTTCTACGCTTGATCATAATCATCACACCGATTTAGATTCACTGTTGCCCAATATAAATCATTATTCAAAGAAAAATACATATCTAAAAAAATTTGTCGGTACACTGAACAAATTTTAAATGAAAGAACCCAATTTATGTTTTAGTACTGAATAAATTTTGTTTTAACTTTAACATGTTCAACATTTTCACCATGTTTGATCATGTGCTCGACGTTAAGTGCATATAAGTAACCTAAGTAGTAGACTTCGGAAATTTATTCTACTAGACACAAATTTCAATCTATATAAGGGGAAAATTATTTATTGTTCTAACTGTATCAAAACACATTTGTTATTTTATACTTTCACTTATTTTTCTTGTATAGCAACAATTAATGAAATCACTGATGATTAATTTATTTTGTTTTGATAAATTATAAGAATTTTAATAAATTTTGTAAATTTATTTTAGATAACTTGTATTTTCAAGTCGGACTGGTGGGAGATTTATTTCTGATTGGAGACTGAGATTATCGGATTTGGTAATAAATATATTTGTAACAATCAAATGTTTATACACATTGGCCCAATGTTGGTCCAATATATCGGGCCAACATTAGGCCAATTAGCAAAATGACACTGGGCCATCGTCATTTGCCAACATCAGCCCAATGTTTTTGTTGACGTTGGGCCAAGATTAGCCTAATGTCGCATTCATTTGGACAATGCTGTCGCAACGTTGGGCCAATATCTGTAGAAATAACACTCTACAATGGGCCAACGTTGGTCCAAAATATCGGGCCAACATTGGGCCGATGAGCAAACTTGGCCTAATGTAACCAATGACATTGACCCAACGTTGGCCCAATCTTAGCATACTATCTAGGAGAGTGTTGACCCTAGCCACTGCACTTCCCCGTGTCTGATTTACAGATTGTACACGATATCGTTTAAACTATAAACGTTCATTAAGCTGTATCGAAGCAAACATATTATAAATACTTACAAAGTGGATGCAGATATGCAAGGATTAGTCTCATTACGCTCGTATTAGATTAAAAATGGCGCGGATATTACAAGTAGCCCGGATGTTTTCTATCCATGATGCTCAGCCAGATTCATGTTATGATGGGTCAACTTGGGCCGATGCCAATCCCCCAACAAATATTTTCTCTCATGATAAAATATTTTTATGACTTAACGCCAACAGTTAGCCCAACAGTGGCCTTATTATACATAACCAACTATCAATATTCCTTGTTGGACCATTGTTTGTCCAATAAAGGTAACCCAACAGCGATAATACAACCATAATGTTATATTTAACTAACATTTATTCAGTCTTCTCTAAATTCACATGAATACGACGCTCATAAAAAAATCTTAATTTTAAGCGTTTTAATACAAATAGATAAGCAATTAAAAAAAGCAGTCATCCAATGAAATCATGGACATAGAATGTCCTCTTAATTATTTCAGAATGTGCATCGAAATTAATATTTGGAACCAACGTTGTCCCAACGTAAAGTTCAGCAACTAGTTATAAAATTCACACCATCATTTAGTTGACAGTGTAATAATCTGACCAACGTTGGCCCAATATAAATATCCCATCTTTGAAACACCTAAACAAATTAAGAGCCATTCTCTGTAATGATTTGAAATTTTATATAGAAGCTGTGGCACGCATAGTCTCAGAATTTCTCCAAACTCTCCATGATAAAAGTCATTGATACCCTAAATTGAAATCAGGCACAGATTGGTTGCTATGTTTTATAGTTACCATGGCAACATGTCTTAAAGTTCGAAAAATGGCTTTTAACATGTTTAGAGCTACATAGTTAACATTTGCGGTGAAGCAAACAATTGGCAATGACTGTTTCCAAAAGTTAAAGGTCAGTTGTCTCAAATGCATGATAAACATGTTTGGTAAATCAACTATTACATACGTTACTATGTTAACAAACTATTCAAAAGTAAAAAAAATATTTATTGAATTTTATAAAGTCATAAACGTAAAAATAAAAAGCAATTATAGGATGAATAGTGACCAAATTATAGAAATAAGAGCCTTGAAACATACACCAAGATCAAAATATGATATTTCATTTTGGTTGGCAATGATTGCCAAGGTTTTTATACCAAAGAGAGCCTTCAAAGTAACATTCTGTATGTTTAAATCTGATCCTATCTTTAAAAAAAAAAACACATTTCCTCATAACTAATGATCAATTTTATAAGATGTTGGTGTGCTCCAAGTTTTCCCATTTGAAAAAATTCAGATTAGATTCTTTAAATAGAGAGTTGCTATGGAAATAAGCAGAAAATATATGCTTAAAAACCTGAAAAATATTTTCTTTCCTTGGATACGTACCCTTAAATGTAAATTCCCAAAACTTTTATGATTTGATATTTATTAACAGCTAACTTGACTTTTAATTTTGACTATCATCCAATCTCTAAGTGGATGCAAGAAGTTAGCATACAGGGTTTAATTTTGATATAAAGTTCACAAAATCGAAAATTTTCCCTTCTTGATAACCATAGCAACAGTGTTGTTTTTTCATCAAGTTTTATCAATATATGATATTCAACTTCAGTTCTATCAGATAAGTACTATTCAAGCTGAGTCCTTTAATTTGTTTCTTGATTAAATGGCAATTCAATTCTTAATGCAACGAAAAATAATTCACTTTTAAGCACTGGTACTTTGTTTCCATGGTAACACTGCAAAGTAGCAATTATACCCTATTTTTCTTGTGGTTTTGGTGTTGCAAGGTACTAAGGATGCATATTTGCCAGTCTTGAATTTTCATGTTTTTCCTCAAGACAGTAGCACAAACCCAATCTTAGTTACTGGTTTTGCATGGTTACACTGTGTTACTATGGCAACCATAAAAGTAATTTATAGAATAATATTGCTTATACTTATATACTTAAGGTCAAACATTTTCATTGCTTTTCTTTAGTCGTTGATTGAGTTTGAGCATGTAACACCTACCATTAGTGAAAACGGAGTGTTTTTCGGCATATTTCAGCATTTTTAATGTATTCTAAATGTACCCTTGGTTACCACTTACTTGGAGATATAGAGGAAAGTGGCTGAAAATCTCGATTTTTCAAACTTTTCCGGCCGTTGCCATAGCAACCGAGACACATAGCAACGAAATTTTGTTTGATATTTGTTTCTGGTGTCAAGTACTAAGCATGGGTGAAGTTTCATCAAAATCGGTGACCATGCGTGGCAACGAAGTTTAAGTGGTTACAGAGAATGGCTAAAACACTCTTGCTAACATCGGGCCAACGTTGGGCCACATTCTATTACCAACTTGAAAAGCCATTTACTTTAAAGATTTATTACAAACATTGGGCCAACAACAGGCCAACTTGATGAGACACGTTCTTTAAGGATGTATTACAAACATCTGGGCAACATTGGGCCAACACACTACTACCAACATGATAAGACACATTGTTTAAGGGTGTATTACAAACATCAGACCAATGTTTGGCCAACTAAAACTACCAGTTTGAAAAACACTTTCTTTTAGGTGTGTTATAAACATTTGGCCAACGCTGGGCCAACATCAGCATCCTTCTTTCCTTGGAAAGTAAAGTGAATGGAAGTTACTTACGTTGGACCAACGTTGGGCCAACATAGGAATTTTGTCATGGTCGAAAAGGTTGACATGGTAAAATTGGTCCAACGTTGGCCCAACGTTATTCCCCCAACGCCAACCATACATTTTACCAGTGTTGGCCCAACATAGGAATGCTTTCTGGGAACCTCATTGAAATCATCGTATTTTTTTAATTAGGCTGAAAGTGAGGAATAGTTGTTACAATCTAACGATCTACTAATATTTATATTATGTTTAATAAATTATACAGTAAAACTTCTCTAAACCGGCCAGCTGCCGTACTGAATAAAATGGCCGGACTATTGTTAAGAAAAATATATAATTGGTGTCTGTTATAATTATATGTCAACATGTTAATTAATTATCGGCAGACACGTAATGAATTCTTAAGGTCTTTAAAACAATGGAAATTATTATTAGTGAGGATAAATTCGACATACATGCTGATTTTTATGAAAAGAAATTAAAAAATAAGAACAGAAAAAACATGGAAAGTTACTTTATTAACCATATGCGAAGAAATAAACCAGACCCATTACCTTAACTGAACTCTATACAGAATACTGCATGTGTATCTGTGTATCGCTTACGTCATTAAAAAACTGTTTGTACTTCAGTTAAGAGTAAATAATTAAAACATTTCTGAGCAAAACTTCTGTTATTTTAATTATAAAATGTATACTTTGGTAAGCATTTTATTTTATTTTTTTCTCATTATTTTTTAACAGTGCCTAATTTTAAGGCCGCTTTTGTGTATTTAAAAAGATGATGCAATATGGCGTGCGATAATTTGTTGATTCATTCTGTGATTTAAATTTACGAGTTGCTTGATATTTTATTAATTCAAGTTTAATTGATGTTAATCATATGTACACAGCTTAGACTGGTCATTTAGGTAGTCTGACACGATGATTACCTCTTCAAGACGGCTAAAACAATAGAAAACCCTATGAGGCCATATTCAGTTTTCACACCTCTGACTTCTCGTGGGTAGACTATTTTTCACACCTCCGGCCGGTCATTATTATCCCTCTGGCCAATGACAAATTTCTTGCAGTCAAAAAGTGGCCGATATGATGAGGGGAAATTTCCTATGTTTCTTAACTTTTGTTCTTGGAAAAGTGGCCGGTGGCCGGTTTTCAGGGGTGGCCGGTTTTATGAGAGTTTATGTGTAAAGAAATGTTAAGAACTTTGCCGGGACTTTTAAGTTTGGCCGATGTTCAGGGAGAACCGGTTTCCAGGGGGGCCGGTTTGGAGAAGTTTCACTGTATTACTAATTACATAATCATACATAATAACAGGTATATGCTAACAAAACACAACATGGAATTATACAGGTATCCTAAATAGAATAAACATCCCCAAGCTGCTTATTAAGCTTAAAATACATGTAACTACGATCATTCTTCAGCCTGTTGATAAAGCTGTGCTGTTGTAAGTAAATTTGTATTTATTCCTTTGGTAACAGCTGGTGGGATAACCTTTGTGAACTAATATCCAGGCGGGGGCATTGAAGAGATCACTCCTTGGCAAAGGCCCGTATACTGGGGCTCAGGCATATCATGTTCACTGTCATGATTGTTTTGTTGCGTATCCTTCTTATTCTGCTTACTCTTTTCATTTTCAGACTTTGAATTTTCCGCTTTTGAATTTGTGTTTGGGGTTTGAGAGTTTCCAGGACTGTTCGTGTTCAGTGGACTTACCGACCTACAAAATGAAACTTGAAAAATGAGACTTGCTTCAGCAAACGTAAAGTTCTTTTTAATAATAGGTACTATGTTAATATTCCCATTACATATTAACGCTTACTTGGCAGCAGCCAGAGACTTTATCGCAGCAACACCAGCACCAACTGTGGCAACTGCCCCTACAGCACCAGCAACACCAACAGCCGCTGCTTTCCACGTGACCACAGAACACGTGGGTTTGTTGTTATGATATACACATTCTCTTAGACCTCCACAGCTCAGCTGATCACATCCAGATTCTGCAAATCCCGACAATAATTATTAGTATCTGTATTGAGCTATATTATTGGAGTATCAGTTTTGAGCATTCCATTAAGTTTTATACTGGCTATCTGTGAACTTATTAAATATCCTAAATTATTTCAATAATAAAAAGTCCCGTGGTGATGTTTGATCCCACTAGTACTGCAGGTGCATCTTAAACAAGTATAAATTCAGATCAAAATTAGATTGAAGATCGTTATTCGACGTAAAAATAAATAATGAACACACTTGAATCTTAAACAGTTTAAAGCATTATGAGCTGCATATTTGACATCGGAAAAAAAAATATTTCAAATTTTTAATTAACTATTTCAATGACTGGAAATTAGAACATTTAAAAACATCTGTTGTTCATATTGCTTTGGAAGAACTTTTTATAAGCTTTGATTGAAGCTAAATTGAATTATTGTCGTCCTGTACAATAATGATTTCTTATATAATACTGTATATTCGGTTGTACAGAAATATTTCTTCTGAAGCATTTTTAAACCTTATTTTGGTCTTATTGATCATAAGTGTTTTCATTACATACAGATTAATCATAATAACACATTTTACCAGCAAAATAAAATTCTCAAAAATGCAGCTCATATTGCTTTAATGAAAAGCTAAAAAGTGATCACTAAACAAGTTTCACTAATTTTTGAACAGATCGCAACATTTGATTAATGGATCTTTCGATGAGAAAATATAATGGTCGATAATATTGATGAATGTGAATAGCGTCATGTCACTTTAAAACAAAACACGTTTAATGTGAGAAAATTAAAAAAAAATGCATAAAGTATGATTGGAGAAGGATCAACTTATTATAAATTAAACAGAAACAGCAGTATAGTTTGTTTAATACATGTACCTCCCAAATAATAGACTGTTATATCCGAGCTTTTCGTGGATCCATAGTGATTAAACACTGAACAGTGATAGGTCCCTTGATCTTCTCGCTGGAAATTCGTAATGTTGAGATCTGGAGAATTTATTGTTCCCCCAGAGTATTTGCCATTCTGCACAGGATCGATTTTTACATTATCTTTGTACCAAATAACTTCAATCACAGGAGGGTAACTGGAGGAAAAACTGCAAGAAAGGGACACGCTATCGCTAGCGTTGACAGCGTAATTTGTGGTTACATTGTACATAGTAGGAGAACCTATTGCAAAAGAGGAAAAGAATTGAGAGGTAATAAGTATAATTCATTTCAATAGTATTTCATAATACACAAAATTTTCTTCGCTGAAAAATTTATCACTACATATTATATCCGTATATGTTTTCAAATCAAGTGATCAAAATATTGAATAAAGTATTAAACTCTGGTTTATAATAAAATAAAAAAAACATAACGGAGATGACTTTTGCAAGAATGGATGCTTACTTCGTTGCAAATCTAGAAATATCATCGATGCACTTTGGCCTATTCCTGCTGAGTTTTGAGCCAAACATCTATAGTTTCCTACATCGTCAATTTGAACGTTTTTAACGGTAAGAGAAGGTGTCCCTACAGTGCCGCCGCTATATTTTGCTGTAATGCCAGTGTTGATATTGGTTGTGACGCCATTTTTCTGGTAATGCCACGTAACAGAAGACACGGTTGTCGTGCTTGTGACCTGGCAGATAAGTACAGCAGACGATCCAACACTTACTGTAAGACTGGATCCTAAAGTTATGCTTGGTACCCCTATAAATAAAAAGCAATTATCATTGCCATAGTATGTGAAATGCATTTTGCTTTGTGTTTTATCATCTTTATTCCAAACTTACCCGGAACGTAGCAATTTGGATCTGTATTTCCAGCTAAACAGTGACAAACGTATTTCCCAAATTGATCTTCACATGTTCCCCCATTTAAACATGGATCACTTAGACAATCATCTATGTCTGTAAGAAAAGATTAACGAAACATATAACACGTATGTAATTATAATTATCATTTTGAATTTATAAATAAACATCGAATATTTCTCAAAAAGATTCCACTGAAAGTGTTTTCTTTATTTGGTAAAATTAGTGTACCTTTAAATTTGAAAAAAAAATGATAATGAGGACATAATGTTTGTTTGCCCTCTCTCGTGGTTAAATTATTGGGTCGCTAGGTCGGTTGGGAAGTTTTTTTTTCTAAAAATTTCAACTATTTGTTGACGGGAGAAGAGAAATAAAAATATATCATGTTATAGAATGCAAAAAAAAAAACGTTTGAGTTAGGCTATTCATAGTCAGCTGATCTGGAGAAGGCAAACAAACAATTTTTTTAAGATGACCTGAGTCAACTTAATATACGAGTCATCATAACACAATCTATAGGCAAAGGAAGCTCTTATAACAAGAAGATTTAATACAACGAACCATCAGCACAGGTTCCATTTGACAATTCGTTTGCCAACAATGACAATAAATCAAACGTGGTCAGATACGTGTAGTCGTTGTGGGTAGCCACTGATCTGAGCACAGCAGAATTTATTCCAGTTCCTACCCCGACACAAAATATCGTGACCCCCATTGCTTTTAGTTGTTCGGGCTCGTTGGAAAGGGAACTTTGTCCATCGGTGATTAGAACAGCAATTTTTGCCGAATCATTTCTTGCTCCTCTGGCGGAACTAAAAGAGTACATCCGGGCATAATCAAGAGCACTTCCTATGCTTGTTCCGCCGCTGGAGAAAGAAATGGAAGATATGGCAGATTGAAGACTAGACACTGTGTGATATCTGTTGAGTGGAAATATCTCTCTAGAAGATGACTCAAAGTTGACCACGCTAAATTGATTTGCGTTGCTTCCAACTATGAAGTTTCCGACGAAGGAGCTAACGAATGACTTCATTCGTTCAAAGTTTTGCGATCCAATACTGCCGGACTCGTCCAGTAGAAGAACAATGTCTCCCTTTGAAACGCACTCCCCTGAGGAAAAAAATTATTTTTATAAGTTTTTGTCAAAGTATTCTTCTTTTTACTTTCATGTACGAGGGGTGATCCAAAAGTAATGTCTCTGTGTCCATATATTTTATATTTGGTGTCATATTATCAAATACTGGAGTATAATATACCAAAATATGCACAAATATAAATCTAATTTAACTTACATTTTTCAGTGAATAATGTTTAATTGAATTTATGCCCTGTTCACACGGTGAGTTTAATTCGCAGTAAATTAATGTGAAATAAACTAATGCGAATTAAAATAATTCGAATCAAATTGCGTTCACAGCTTAAGTGAAGTAAACTAATGCAAATTAAAATTTATTGCAATGTTCACACGGATAGTTTAATTGGAATTAAACTTAAAGTTACTGCGAATAAGCTTCGCTTAGCGTTCACACGGAGAATTTAATGTGAATTAGTTTAATTCGAATTAGTTTACTTCGCATTAGATCCGTGTGAACGCTAAGCGAAGCTAATTCGAATTTAATTCTGACGCATGCGTAATGGCAAAAATTAGTCAAATGCCACTTGTCGGTGGTCAGCCATAGGTAATTGTGCTATTTTTGAGTGAAAAACTAAGGAAAATTTTAGTAATAATTAAAATGTGTATACAGACACTTTGCCTTTAACGACGTTCGATCCTGATATTTAAAGTCTTAAACTTTTTTTGCCCAGTATATTTCTAGTTTCTACATACATAGCTTAATTAAAATTCAAATCAAGAAATGGGGGTCAATACGCTTCTTTTGGCGCTACAGTACATTTCGTATGACCTTTTTGCACTGAAATTTGTGTGTTAATTAAAAATTAAATTTTTGACTTTTTCCTTCCAATATTTTTACCCAATCAAAGCATGAAACAAAATGAAGTTTGTTTTTAAAAAGACACTTAAAAATTGTGACTAAGAAAACAAATTGCTTCGCATAATTAATTATTTGACCTTTCTGAACTAATAAAAAGTTAGTTTTTTGGCATTGAAAATTTAAATAGCAAAAAAAAAAATTAAAGTCTTAGACTTTTTCTGATTTTAAGCAAATAGGTCAAATTTATCTTGAATATTTAGAAAAGAGCATCAAAAGTGGGGGTATATGATGTAAATTTTCAGATATTACTAAAAAAAAGTGAAAATTTTACGTTAAAATTGTTTCAATTATTTCAAGGAATTTCAAAATATAATTACTATATTTGTCACCCTTTGTTGATAGAATTTATAAGAAATAATTTAATAGATATTTCAGAACCAGCATAACACATTTCACTGCAAAAAACAGCTTTGTGTGCAACCATCATGGAAAAATAGGAATCCAAAATTAACAGTACTGTTATAGTTCAAAATGGAAAAACCGATCATTTTCATCTAAATGACCTTCTGCCACAAAATATAGTCCCTAGCTTAATTCTACTTGAATGGAATTTAATAGCAGTTTTTTCATTGAATATATTTAAATTTGCACTGTAGAACTTAAAAATGATGCAGAATTTTATAAATAAAGGACCTGACCAAAGTACGCTCAAAATCGCAGGAACGAACGTCCTTAAGTCAAATGGATCTGCTTCTGCATAACGTGACATGATTTGCAAATGACGTCATAATAGCCGTGCTAGCTCCGGACTGCAGAGGTAAAATTCTAATTCGCATTTATTTAGTTTACTTTGCATTAGCTGTCGTGTGAACGCAATTTAATTCGCATTAGTTTGATTTGCATTAGTTTACTTCGCATTAATTTACTGCGAATTAAACTCTCCGTGTGAACAGGACTTACTTCTACAAAAGGCTATATTCTGTTAAGCTAAATTATGACATCATTTGTAAATCACGTCATATACGCAGAGCCATCCATTTGATATAATAATCGTAGTGGCTACAGGTATACATTTAGTGATTAACATACTTTTCCTTGATTTTTAGACCAAATATAGCACAGATAACCATATCTAACCACCAGCATGTGTCTTGTGACTTAATTATGGCCTTACGCATGCATCAAAATTTAGTTCGAATTAGCTTCGCTTAGCGTTCACACGGAGTTAATATGAAGTAATTTAATGCACAGTAAATTAATTCGAATTAAACCAATTCGCATTAAATTCTCCGTGTTAACGCTAAGCGAAGCTACAATGTAATTCGCAGTAAACTTACGTTTAATTCGAATTAAACTCTCCGTGTGAATAGGGAATTATTTTATAGATATTTAAAACAGAGAACATAGGTGGTGTCGCCGCTTTACAACCGAACGTCACAAATTAAAGCGTACTTTTTTTAGAATTAAAAAAACAAAAACATTTAGAAGTATCTTTTATAAACGCCTAATCGCCCATTATTTCAAAAGACATAAATTTACATCATTTTCTAGTAATGAGTTGAAAATTATATGACATCATTACTAATTTTTTAATTGAAAAAAATAGCTTTTTTACTCCGATTATTGAAAAAATGAAATGCATGTCGAAATGGGAAAAAACGCCACAACAAACTATAATGAATTTTTGGTTCAAAATGGAAAAATCGACAGTAGAGACAGCTACGTTGATTCATCAGACTGACAGGGGGAAAATGTAAATTAGAGACGTGTTTAGATGGTTTTAGCTATTTTGGGTTGGTGATGGGTCATTGAATGCTCAGTAGATGACAAGAAGACCGAAGGAAGAGAGGGCGGACGGAAACGTTCAATGGTGTGTGACGTTGTAAAAAAAAAATACAGACGGTTAGAGCGATAAGTGAAATGCTAAGTTGGTCTTATACTACTGTTCAAAGAATTTTGACAGAGGAATTATTCATGAAAAGAGTGAGTGTACGTTGGATACCAAGTTTACTTTAGAAAAGTGAAATTTGTGAACGCGATTCTGAATCTAAAATAATTTTAATGAAACGAAGGGAAGCGTTTAAAAGTATGACGGCGTATATCCGTCCTATGACGTTATTTAGGGGCGGCGACTACCATAATCGCAGGTTGTATATAATCCGATATTTTGAAAAATATAAATCATGTTGAATTGAAATCTTCAGGTCTGATATGAAATGAAATAATGTTGCTTTCATTATTAATAATATTGTTGTTTTACGTCGACTGGCAGCGATTTTATTGAAGTTTTGACATTTAGTTTAGTAGTTAGTGCATGTACCTTCAAATAAATATACGGATATATTCGAGCTTTTCGTGGATCCATAGTGATTATACACTGAAAAGTGATAGGTCCCTTGATCTTCTCGCTGGAAATTCGATATGTTCAGGTTTGGAGAATGAATTGTTCCACCAGAGTATTTGCCATTCAGCCCCGGATTGATTGCTACATCATCTTTGTACCAAATAACTCCAACCACCGGAGGGTAACTGGGGGAAAAACTGCAAGACAGGGACACGCTATCGTTAGCATTGACAGCGTAAAGTGTGGTTACCGTGGATATAGTAGGAGAACCTATTGCAAAAGAGGAAAACAATTGAGAGGGAATATGTATAATTCTTTTCAATAGTATTTCATAATACACAAAATTTTCTTCGCTGAAAAATTTATCACTGCATATTATATCCGTATATGTTTTTAAATCAAGTGATCAAAATATTGAATCAAGTATTAAACTCTGGTATATAAGTAAAATAAAAAAACATAACGGAGATGACTTTTGCAAGAATGCAAATGCTTACTTCGTTGCAAATCTAGAAATATCATCGATGCACTTTGGCCTATTCCTGCTGAGTTTTGAGCCAAACATCTATAGTTTCCTACATCGTCAATTTGAACGTTTTTAACGGTAAGAGAAGGTGTCCCTACAGTGCCGCCGCTATATTTTGCTGTAATGCCAGTGTTGATATTGGTTGTGACGCCATTTTTCTGGTAATGCCACGTTACAGAAGACACGGTTGTCGTGCTTGTGACCTGGCAGGTAAGTACAGCAGACGATCCAACACTTACTGTAAGACTGGATCCTAAAGTTATGCTTGGTACCCCTATAAATAAAAAGCAATTATCATTGCCATAGTATGTGAAATGCATTTTGCTTTGTGTTTTATCATCTTTATTCCAAACTTACCCGGAACGTAGCAATTTGGATCTGTATTTCCAGCTAAACAGTGACAAACGTATTTCCCAAATTGATCTTCACATGTTCCCCCATTTAAACATGGATCACTTAGACAATCATCTATGTCTGTAAGAAAAGATTAACGAAACATATAACACGTATGTAATTATAAGTATCATTTTGAATTAATAAATAAACATCGAATATTTCTTAAAAGGATTCCACTGAAAGTGTTTTCTTTATTTGGTAAAATTAGTGTACCTTTAAATTTGAAAAAAAATGATAATGAGGACATAATGTTTGTTTGCCCTCTCTCGTGGTTAAATTATTGGGTCGCTAGGTCGGTTGGAAAATTTTTTTTTCTAAAAATTTCAACATATTTGTTGACGGGAGAAGAGAAATAAAAATATATCATGTTATAGAATGCAAAAAAAAAAAAAAACGTTTGAGTTAGGCTATTCATAGTCAGCTGATCTGGAGAAGGCAAACAAACAATTTTTTTAAGATGACCTGAGTCAACTTAATATACGAGTCATCATAACACAATCTATAGGCAAAGGAAGCTCTTATAACAAGAAGATTTAATACAACGAACCATCAGCACAGGTTCCATTTGACAATTCGTTTGCCAACAATGACAATAAATCAAACGTGGTCAGATACGTGTAGTCGTTGTGGGTAGCCACTGATCTGAGCACAGCAGAATTTATTCCAGTTCCTACCCCGACACAAAATATCGTGACCCCCATTGCTTTTAGTTGTTCGGGCTCGTTGGAAAGGGAACTTTGTCCATCGGTGATTAGAACAGCAATTTTTGCCGAATCATTTCTTGCTCCTCTGGCGGAACTAAAAGAGTACATCCGGGCATAATCAAGAGCACTTCCTATGCTTGTTCCGCCGCTGGAGAAAGAAATGGAAGATATGGCAGATTGAAGACTAGACACTGTGTGATATCTGTTGAGTGGAAATATCTCTCTAGAAGATGACTCAAAGTTGACCACGCTAAATTGATTTGCGTTGCTTCCAACTATGAAGTTTCCGACGAAGGAGCTAACGAATGACTTCATTCGTTCAAAGTTTTGCGATCCAATACTGCCGGACTCGTCCAGTAGAAGAACAATGTCTCCCTTTGAAACGCACTCCCCTGAGGAAAAAAATTATTTTTATAAGTTTTTGTCAAAGTATTCTTCTTTTTACTTTCATGTACGAGGGGTGATCCAAAAGTAATGTCTCTGTGTCCATATATTTTATATTTGGTGTCATATTATCAAATACTGGAGTATAATATACCAAAATATGCACAAATATAAATCTAATTTAACTTACATTTTTCAGTGAATAATGTTTAATTGAATTTATGCCCTGTTCACACGGTGAGTTTAATTCGCAGTAAATTAATGTGAAATAAACTAATGCGAATTAAAATAATTCGAATCAAATTGCGTTCACAGCTTAAGTGAAGTAAACTAATGCAAATTAAAATTTATTGCAATGTTCACACGGATAGTTTAATTGGAATTAAACTTAAAGTTACTGCGAATAAGCTTCGCTTAGTGTTCACACGGAGAATTTAATGTGAATTAGTTTAATTTGAATTAGTTTACTTCGCATTAGATCCGTGTGAACGCTAAGCGAAGCTAATTCGAATTTAATTCTGACGCATGCGTAATGGCAAAAATTAGTCAAATGCCACTTGTCGGTGGTCAGCCATAGGTAATTGTGCTATTTTTGAGTGAAAAACTAAGGAAAATTTTAGTAATAATTAAAATGTGTATACAGACACTTTGCCTTTAACAACGTTCGATCCTGATATTTAAAGTCTTAATCTTTTTTTGCCCAGTATATTTTTAGTTACTACATACATAACTTAATTAAAATTCAAATCAAAAAATGGAGGTCAATACGCTTCTTTTGGCGCTACAGTACATTTAGTATGACCTTTTTGCACTGAAATTTGTGTGTTAATTAAAAATTAAATTTTTGACTTTTTCCTTCCAATATTTTTACCCAATCAAAGCATGAAACAAAATGAAGTTTGTTTTTAAAAAGACACTTAAAAATTGTGACTAAGAAAACGTTTCAAATTGCTTCGCATAATTAATTATTTGACCTTTCTGAACTAATAAAAAGTTAGTTTTTTGGCATTGAAAATTTAAATAGCAAAAAAAAAATTTAAAGTATTAGACTTTTTTCTGATTTTAAGCAAATAGGTCAAATTTATCTTGAATATTTAGAAAAGAGCATCAAAAGTGGGGGTATATGATGTAAATTTTCAGATATTACTAAAAAAAAGTGAAAATTTTACGTTAAAATTGTTTCAATTATTTCAAGGAATTTCAAAATATAATTACTATATTTGTCACCCTTTGTTGATAGAATTTATAAGAAATAATTTAATAGATATTTCAGAACCAGCATAACACATTTCACTGCAAAAAACAGCTTTGTGTGCAACCATCATGGAAAAATAGGAATCCAAAATTTACAGTACTGTTATAGTTCAAAATGGAAAAACCGATCATTTTCATCTAAATGACCTTCTGCCACAAAATATAGTCCCTAGCTTAATTCTACTTGAATGGAATTTAATAGCAGTTTTTTCATTGAATATATTTAAATTTGCACTGTAGAACTTAAAAATGATGCAGAATTTTATAAATAAAGGACCTGACCAAATTACGCTCAAAATCGCAGGAACGAACGTCCTTAAGTCAAATGGATCTGCTTCTGCATAACGTGACGTGATTTGCAAATGACGTCATAATAGGCGTGCTAGCTCCGGACTGCAGAGGTAAAATTCTAATTCGCATTAGTTTACTTTGCATTAGCTGTCGTGTGAACGCAATTTAATTCGCATTAGTTTGATTTGCATTAGTTTACTTCGCATTAATTTACTGCGAATTAAACTCTCCGTGTGAACAGGACTTACTTCTACAAAAGGCTATATTCTGTAAAGCTAAATTATGACATCATTTGTAAATCACGTCATATACGCAGAGCCATCCATTTGATATAATAATCGTAGTGGCTACAGGTATACATTTAGTGATTAACATACTTTTCCTTGATTTTTAGACCAAATATAGCACAGATAACCATATCTAACCAACAGCATGTGTCTTGTGACTTAATTATGGCCTTACGCATGCATCAAAATTTAGTTCGAATTAGCTTCGCTTAGCGTTCACACGGAGTTAATACGAAGTAATTTAATGCACAGTAAATTAATTCGAATTAAACTAATTCGCATTAAATTCTCCGTGTTAACGCTAAGCGAAGCTAAATTCGCAGTAAACTTACGTTTAATTCGAATTAAACTCTCCGTGTGAATAGGGAATTATTTTATAGATATTTAAAACAGAGAACATAGGGGGTGTCGCCGCTTCACAACCGAACGTCACAAATTAAAGCGTACTTTTTTAGAATTAAAAAAAACAAAAACATTTAGAAGTATCTTTTATAAACGCCTAATCGCCCATTATTTCAAAAGACATAAATTTACATCATTTTCTAGTAATGAGTTGAAAATTATATGACATCATTACTAATTTTTTAATTGAAAAAATAGCTTTTTTACTCCGATTATTGAAAAAATGAAATGCATGTCGAAATGGGAAAAAACGCCACAACAAACTATAATGAATTTTTGGTTCAAAATGGAGAAATCGACAGTAGAGACAGCTACGTTGATTCATCAGACTGACAGGGGGAAAATGTAAATTAGAGACTTGTTTAGATGGTTTTAGCGATTTTGGGTTGGTGATGGGTCATTGAATGCTCAGTAGATGACAAGAAGACCGAAGGAAGAGAGGGCCTACGAAAACGTTCAATGGTGTGTGACGTTGTAAAAAAAAAATACAGACGGTTAGAGCGATAAGTGAAATGCTAAGTTGGTCTTATACTACTGTTCAAAGAATTTTGACAGAGGAATTATTCATGAAAAGAGTGAGTGTACGTTGGATACCAAGTTTACTTTAGAAAAGTGAATTTTGTGAACGCGTTTCTGAATCTAAAATAATTTTAATGAAACAAAGGGAAGCGTTTAAAAGTATGACGGCGTATATCCGTCCTATGACGTTATTTAGGGGCGGCGACTACCATAATCGCAGGTTGTATATAATCCGATATTTTGAAAAATATAAATCATGTTGAATTGAAATCTTCAGGTCTGATATGAAATGAAATAATGTTGCTTTCATTATTAATAATATTGTTGTTTTACGTCGACTGGCAGCGATTTTATTGAAGTTTTGACATTTAGTTTAGTAGTTAGTGCATGTACCTTCAAATAAATATACGGATATATTCGAGCTTTTCGTGGATCCATAGTGATTATACACTGAAAAGTGATAGGTCCCTTGATCTTCTCGCTGGAAATTCGATATGTTCAGGTTTGGAGAATGAATTGTTCCACCAGAGTATTTGCCATTCAGCTCCGGATTGATTGCTACATCATCTTTGTACCAAATAACTCCAACCACCGGAGGGTAACTGGGGGAAAAACTGCAAGACAGGGACACGCTATCGTTAGCATTGACAGCGTAAAGTGTGGTTACCGTGGATATAGTAGGAGAACCTATTGCAAAAGAGGAAAACAATTGAGAGGGAATATGTATAATTCTTTTCAATAGTATTTCATAATACACAAAATTTTCTTCGCTGAAAAATTTATCACTGCATATTATATCCGTATATGTTTTCAAATCAAGTGATCAAAATATTGAATCAAGTATTAAACTCTGGTATATAAGTAAAATAAAAAAACATAACGGAGATGACTTTTGCAAGAATGCAAATGCTTACTTCGTTGCAAATCTAGAAATATCATCGATGCACTTTGGCCTATTCCTGCTGAGTTTTGAGCCAAGCATCTATAGTTTCCTACATCGTCAATTTGAACGTTTTTAACGGTAAGAGAAGGTGTCCCTGCAGTGCCACCGCTATATTTTGCTGTAATGCCAGTGTTGATATTGGTCGTGACGCCATTTTTCTGGTAATGCCACGTAACAGAAGACACGGTTGTCGTGCTTGTGACCTGGCAGGTAAGTACAGCAGACGATCCAACACTTACTGTAAGACTGGATCCTAAAGTTATGATTGGTACCCCTATAAATAAAAAGCAATTATCATTGCCATAGTATGTGAAATGCATTTTGCTTTGTGTTTTATCATCTTTATTCCAAACTTACCCGGAACGTAGCAATTTGGATCTGTGTTTCCGGACAGACAGTGACAAACGTATTTCCCAAACTGATCTTCACATGTTCCGCCATTTAAACATGGATCACTTAGACAATCGTTTATGTCTGTAAGAAAAGATTAACGAAACATAAAACACGTATGTAATTATAAGTATCATTTTGAATTAATAAATAAACATCGAATATTTCTTAAAAGGATTCCACTGAATGTGTTTTCTTTATTTGGTAAAATTAGTGTATCTTTAAATTTGAAAAAAAATGATAATGAGGACATAATGTTTGTTTGCCCTCTCTCGTGATTAAATTATTGGGTTGGTAGGTCGGTTGGAAAGTTTTTTTTTCTAAAAGTTTCAACATATTTGTTGACGGGAGAAGAGAAATAAAAATATATCATGTTATAAAATGTAAAAAAAACGTTTGAGTTAGGCCATTTATAGTCAGCTGATCTGGAGAAGGCAACCAGACATTTTTTAAGATGATCTGAGTCAACTTAATATAAGAGTCATCATAACACAATCTATAGGCAAAGAAAGCTTTCATAACAAGAAGATTTAATACAACGAACCATCAGCACAGGTTCCATTTGACAATTCGTTTGCCAACAATGACAATAAATCAAACGTGGTCAGATACGTGTAGTCGTTGTGGGAAGCCACTGATCTGAGCACAGCTGAATTTATTCCAGTTCCTACCCCGACACAAAATATCGTGACCCCTATTGCTTTTAGTTGTTCGGGCTCGTTGGAAAGGGAACTTTGTCCATCGGTGATTAGAACAGCAATTTTTGCCGAATCACTTCTTGCTCCTCTGGCGGAACTAAAAGAGTACATCCGGGCATAATCTAGGGCACTTCCTATGCTTGTTCCTCCGCTGGAGAAAGAAATGGAAGATATGGCAGATTGAAGACTAGACACTGTGTGATATCTGTTGAGGGGGAATATCTCTCTAGAAGATGACTCAAAGTTGACTACACTGAATTGATTTGCGTTGCTTCCAACTTTGAAGTTACCCACGAAGGAGCTAACAAATGACTTCATTCGTTCAAAGTTTTGCGATCCAATACTGCCGGACTCGTCCAGTAGAAAAACAATGTCTCCCTTTGAAACGCACTCCCCTGAGGAAAACAATTATTTTTATTAGTTTTTGTCAAAGTATGTCTTCTTTTTACTTTCATGTACGAGGGGTGATCCAAAAGTAATGTCTCTGTGTCCATATCTTTTATATTTGGTGTCATATTAACAAATACTGGAGTATAACATACCAAAATATGCACAAATATAAATCTAGTTTAACTTTAATTTTTCAGCTAATAATGCGAATCAAATTGCGTTCACACGACAGCTTAAGCGAAGTAAACTAATGCGAATTAAAATTTAATGCCCTGTTCACACGGATAGTTTAATTCGAATGAAACATAAAGTTACTTCGAATTAGCTTCACTTGTAGTTTTATTTAATGGAAAATATATAATAATACTTTTTCATGAACCGTTATTTTATTAAATAAATAGGCATTTAACCGCTGAAGATTGAATTCTTACATGACAGTTACAGAAATTTTAGAAAACTTGAAATTTGAAAAACAGAAAAAAGTTAATTTTTTTTGCATGAAATACTTATTTACATCACATCGATGTGTCGTAGCATGAAATACTTGTTTACATCACATCGATGTGTCGTCTTTTGCAGTATAAACACTGTAAATTCCATCAAGTTGCTGATGACTGTCGGTTTTTATAGCTAAGCAGGGCTATTCTACGGACCTCCCTAAACATCTTAACACATGATTTTAGTCCCAATAGAGCAGTAAAACAGCTAGGAACATGATTTTGTTATTGTATATTAATTAAAACTAATCAATACATATTACGAACAAATTTGTAATTTAAAAATATATTTTAATACAATTTCCTCGGTCTTGAAATGTTGTTTGAAATATGAAAGCCTCGGCTTTATATATTATGGACACCGCCAGTGGATTGTTTTATGTTTTATTCTTTATATATTCAACCCTTGAATATACTTAATGACATGTTATAAACAATAAGTAAAAATAATTTAAACCTACCTTTAATAAAAGGTATGATTGCCCATACCATTTGCAAAAGTACCGTTAATTTCAACATTCTCTGTTAGCAAATTTTCTTACATCAGATTTCATTTGGCATTAACATTGCGACATTGTAACTGTTTAGAGCCAAGTCCATCTAACAGAGATATGAACAAGACGTATTTATTTATATTTTTTAGAAAAGAGGAGTGCCTACGGGACCTTAGTATAGTGTTTTAGGTTTACCTCCTAAATCGATAATTTAAATTATCCACAGTGGGTTGATATCATTATTAAGCACTTGGTGTGTTTTTAAGAGAGGATTTAAACCCTAATTTGGCTAATTTGCTTTTTGTAAACATGTTAACCAATTTTCATGCCATATCATATTGACATGCTATGCCCTTGACACTGATTTGCATTTATGCATCGTTTCTTGTCAAGTATGTTTCTTGGCTTGTAATTTCTTGTCTTTCATCATGCATATTTCATATGGGTAAAATCATATGTTTGTTGATTATTAATTTTACAAATTAAAAAAATGATACAGAAATGTAATTACTTAGTTGATTCTATACGCAAGAGCATGCTCTACGTATGAACAATTTCTAAAACGAGGTGAATTATTGACAAGCAAGTTGATGAAACAAAAATATTAACAGTCTCGTTTAATGTCATCATTTCGTTAGTTCTGTGGTCAATACAATGACCTTGTCAGTGTATATAATTTATCATTGAGTCAAATGCTGACTGGCGTTTTTCATACCAATCGTTAGTCCATTTTATACACTGAATTGACGACGGATTTTTCCGTTATTTCACGATCATGACACTGAGCACACAACGGGTGTAACAAGTCAGCAGGGGATGCTCACTCCTCCATGGCACCTAATCCCACCTCTGATGTTTCGAAGGTCCGTGTTTGCTCTACTCTTGTTTTGTATTGTTTTAAGGACTTTGAGATTGAATACTGTTCGTTATCTCCATATCCTTCCTCTTCTGATTTTTACAGAAAAAAATTCAAAGGGAATGTTGTGTATGTGAAGTTATATAAGAAAAATTCCGTGTGAAATAAAAAAAAAAATTCAAATACACGTAACTTAAATTTTATGGGTTTTTTTTTAACTATAAATAATTCATATTTTTAAAATAATTGTCTAGTTCAGAGCCTAAAATTCCTGTTTGGTTTATGGTGGTATTTTATCTGCAATCAGTTTCTTAAGAGGTGGCAAAAAGACTACATTCAAATTTGCTGGAATGTTAACACTGCAGGTGTACTTTCTAAAAATATTGTGTTAAATTTAGAAAAAAAATGTTCTCCCATAAACTTTTGTTGTTACTTTATACATTTTCATATTAATTTTGATTCCTAAACTTTTACATTATAATCATGAACTGAAATGATGAATACTGAACGAGATACAGTAAAAGTTTTCTTAACTAACTCAGAAATAGAAAAAATGCTTACTATCTATTTGTGGGATAATTAAACTGATATTTAAAAAATGAGGAAAAAAGTAGGGTTTTTTTTTCTTAAACAGAATGTGTAGGCACAAAGGTGTTATATTCATTGAGAAAATATTTTAATTTAGGTGACCAGAAATAATAATTTTTTATGTTGTTCTTGGAAATGTATCCTTATCTTCTGCACCTTAATTGTACACGATATCATAAAAACCGTGAGAAGTTCCAATTTGCAATGAACACTTTTGTTAATTGTTTATTTAAAAAACTTAATTGCGCCGCAATCAAAACGATGGATTTAATTTTGCAATATAGAGTCAAGAATGTGTTTTCTATACTTCTGAACCAAACAGATAAAAACAAGGTTTTTATACAAATATGTACTCTCTAATTTCGTTCAATGCCTGACTATTAGAGAAATATATGTTTTAAAATAACTTATTTCTAAGAAGGGAATGGCTTTGAGATGTAATTACTTTTAATTGATGGTCCGAATTCAAAAATTATCCACTTCAAATATCAAATAAAGAGAGAATTAAAGAACTACCACCAAATTATCTCTGTCAGCACATTCTACCTTAAGAAATACGCACGCTAACGCTCGATTCCCGCCTACATTTTGCAACCATTTAATTCAATATAAAAGACAATTTGTAATACCAGCTCTAAACAGTAAATTAGCCATACCTCTAGCTCTTGACAAAAAGGGGGTAGACGAAAATTTTCATTGAAATCGTACTTTCAGGCATCAACATATTTTGAAATAGTCCTGGGTATCATTAAATGTTTCTTATATGTTTTCTTTGTTTTAGACAAATAAAGAAAACATAAATTTAACAATAAAATATAATGTTTTAATTTTAAATTGATTTGGAATTGGTGGAAAATAAGCATTTCTGTCGTTTTTTGTCAATAAACATACATGTATGCCCCCCCTCCACCCCCCCCCCCCCCACCCCCGTGTCACACAAAAACCTTTGGTATGAATTTGTGAAATAACAGTCCATATTACCTGTAAACAGGAATTTTTTGTGACACCGGGGGGTTGAGATGTTTTAAAAATATTTTCATTTTTCTATTGATTTCTATAGTAAACAAGCAAATTCAAAGGATTGTGGTCCCCCACTTTCGGTGTCTTTGTGGGTGAGATGTTATTTTTTATGACATATAATGTCTAATATGAACACCCTATCATATGTTATTTATTAAGAAATTATCATTGAAGTTGATTTTTATTCAAAATAAGGTCAATCGTGAAGGTCAATGTCAAGGGGTAAGAAATCATAACAAGCTCGGAATTATCTTTAAGTTGTCACAGGTAATGCACATGTCATATATGAAAGCCCTATCTCTTCTCAATATAAGGAATAAGATATGTTTGTGAAACACTGATGACCTCGAACAGCAACATAACGAAGATTAAAATTTTCTTAAATGCAAAATAAATATATGATTACCCAAAGTAGGGTTTTTCTCACAAGAAATACGATTGTGAAAGATATAATCCCTAGCATCACCTGTTCAAAAGTTATAGTCAGGATAAATATTTGAAAGGTAGTTCAAACTCCAAGGTGAAAGGGTCTGAGTTGTTGGTTTTTTAAGAAAGGTCTTGTCACAAGTAATACATATTTGAAGGATGAAAACCCTTACCCTAACTATTCAAAATTTATGGCCAATGTTAAAGTTTTTCAAAAGTAGGTCAAAAGGTTAAAGTTCTTGGTATCCAATAAAGGTCTTTTCACAAGGATTACATATGTGAAGTATAAAAGCCCTAGCCCTCACCGTTTAAATGTTATGGTCAAGGTTAAAGTTTTTTCATAAGTACGTAAATCTCCAAGGTCAAAAGGTCAAAATTGTTTGTATTCAATAAAAGATCTTGCCACAAAAAATACATATGTGAAATATGAAAGTCCTAGTAACTACCGTTAAAAAGTTGTGACCAAGGTTAAAGTTTTTAAAAAGTGGTTTAAACTCCAAGGTCAAGGTCAAAGGGTTAAAGTTCATGGTATCCGATAAAAGTTCTTTTCACAAGGATTACATACGTGAAGTACGAAAGCATGGCTCTCATCGCTCAAAAGTTATGGGCGAGGTTAAAGTTTTTTCCATAATTACGTGAATTTCCAAGGTCAAGGTCAAAAGGTCAAAGTTGTTGCAAATTCTATCGTTTGCAGTTCATTGGAGTCAATACAAACAAAAATATCTATTTAATGCACAAGTATAATTTCATACAAAACATCAAGAGACAGTATTAGTTGCTTGAATGTTAGCGGTTCAATCGTATGTGTGCTTTTTGTATACCTTGACCTTATCAAATTGAAGAAAAAGTTTATGTTCAACTAGAGGCAACTAGAGGCTGATGGGTAACAATGCCTACCTGAGTGCTTCTGCTTTCACTCAGAATTTTCCCCCATATTCCCATGAAAATTTTGAATCCACCACTTCTTGTGTATTATTAGTTATGGCTTTGTTCTTGTTTAAGAGAAAAGTAGAATTTCTATGTTCCATACACAGGCACCAAACTCTCTTGAACTTTTGACCCCCTAGTTTTCTTATAATATACTAGGGGCTCAAAAATTCAAGCGAGTTTGGTGCCTGTGGCTCCATGTATTACCATCGAATAGTGAGAAATCCTTATCCTTATCAACTTTATATCTTTATCCTTATAAACATTGTATCCTTATCCTTTTAAGGTCATGAAGATTTAAATACTGACAACATTCAAGGTGGTACTGGGTTAGCAGATACTCAGCAGAAGTTGTGAAAAAAAAAATGCTTGTATCATGGAAGGCGTCTCGAAAAACCGCAGTGACTCTCCATCACATGTCTTTATATGCAGGTCGTTCACATGACACAGTTCAAGGTTGCCTAAAAATATTTATAAAACTATGGCAGAAAAATGCACTGGCAAAATAGATTAACTTGACAAATGCATATAAATTATATATATTTACATAATGTTATAAATAAGGGGAAAGGGAAGGTGAGACTTTTAAGCTATGTGACAAAATACACCCATCTCTCAATCCAACTGTAACAAATATTGTGACGTCAAAAATTAACAGTAATGACGTTATCTATCATTACGCGCACAAAACCAAGGCGCGGATCTGAGACATAATATTAGCCATCGCAATAATACGCAATTAATTGTTAGTGATATTCAATGTTAGAAATGTGAGCACCCTCGCTAATAATCCCAAAAGTAAATCCTCGCTAAAAATTCTACTTATACGGAGTTTTCAAGATCGCCAATTTGTGACATGATTGACTTTAATTTTTCGCCTGCGATCAGAAATTCTAAGTTTAAAAGTTTATGGAACTAGGAAGAAAAAAGAAACACTGTTGCGATCCGTCGATTGTTATTTATCGAAAAAAATACGTAGTATTATGGGGACAAAATTACTTTAACATTTGAAATTGTTATTACACTAGAAATACGATGATTCTGTCTCTGACATAATTTATTGAGGTTAAGACCTATATATCTCGTTACTATAGAAATAATCAGTGACCCTATGTGCCGAAGCAACCATTGATATTAATTTACGGTGACACATTGAACACCCCAAAGTAGCACAATATTCA